TCATAAACACTTTAATAATAATAAAAATTTCAATAGAAATAAACAATATCAATATAAGAAAAACAAATACCATAATAACACTCAAAGAAGGTATAAACAATATCAAAATAAGAAACAAAATAGAAATCAAAGAAAAGAAATGATTGAAATACAAAACCAAGAATATTGGAAAAGACTCTTTGAAGAAGAAATTAAAATACTTACACCACAAGAAGTAGAAGAAATTAAAAATACCAAGATTAAAGAATATACATCATCAACAATATGGAGAAGATGGTATTTTCTTGCACGAGAAAAAAACAAAAACAATCAGAATGGAAGAAGAGACTATTAGTATGACGATGGAAGAAGACAATAATCAATACAACCCAAATGAGATTAAAGACAATAGAATATACAATAACTATGTAATGAGTATTGAAAGTGAAGAAGACGATGATAAAGAGTTTAATAAAAATAAAAGATGATTGATGAAGAGGAAAAAGGAATGAAAAGGAATGAATAGGAGAAGAAATAGAGAAAAAAGTGGAGGAGGATATGAAAGAGAAAGAAGAAATGAAAAAGGAAATACAAATAAAAGACCAAACCATAAAAAAACTAACTAAGGATATTATGGCATTAAAGAAGAAGCATGAGAATGAGATAAGCACAAAACACTGGTGTGATAAAAAAATATTCAAATTCTATGCCGAGTCTGAGAGGAAAATGTTTGAAGTAAATAACTTAACACAACAATTATTATTCATGAAAGATAAATTATCTAAATTAGAAAATGAAAATACACAAGAAGAAAAGAAGAAAGATGAGGTAACTTACAATATAACAGACTCATCAGAAACACAAATAGTAAATGACCTCACCCCCATGTGGTAGTAGCTGATGAAATATCATCAAGTGAAGATGATCTTCCAAAAAAAAAGAAAGTTAACGCAGAAATCAATTGAAGAAATGGATATTCATCATAAGAATATCATCACATTAGAATTAGACAAGCAAAAAAACAAATGAAGTAAATAGACAGAGAAGAAGAAATTTAACACTCTATAAATGTTTTGTTTTAAAATTATTTGAAAGAAAATTAAGAGGTCAACTAAAAGAAGAAATAATGGAAAGACTAATACAAGAATTTGGAATTAAAGTTAATGATATTAATGAATATAAAGAAATAATAAAGAAGACATTTAAAATAAAGAATGAAATTAAAAGAGAAATCAATAGAATAATGGAAGAAGAAATAATAAAACAACAATGGAAAGATAATGAATTAAAAGAAATAATATCCAAAATGAACAAGAAAGAGAAAGAAGAAATAGAAGAAGAGGAGGTAATGAAAATATTTAAAGAAGAATAAATGAAAGAGTAAGATGATGTACAATTTATTAATTATTATTACAATAAGAAGAAAGTACATCAAATAATTAATAATATTAATAAAAATGAAATATTAATAAATATATTAGATTATTATTATCATTATATTAAATCTGTAGCTTCCACTATTAACATCATTAATAAAAATAAACAAGAAAGAAGTTGAAAGAAAAGTATAGAAGGAATATTACAAACAAAATATGTAGATTAAGAGATTTACTCAATAATAAACAATATATGAAATTAAAAAGAATATTACATATTAAGAAATATGATATATATCATATTAAAATAAAAACAAATAAACAAATAAACTATTATAAATACCTCCGAAAGATGAAAATAATAGAAATAGAAGCAAGAAAGAATAATTGGAAAAGAATAAGATTGAATTATAAAATGATGAAATATGGGAAAAGATAATATTTAAATAAAACTAAATAAGATGATTATCCAGGTAATATCTCCACTATTAATTTCTGGAAATGAATCTATGAAACTAACACCAATATAGACTTCATGAATATTAATTTATATGAAATATTAATAGAAAATAGAATTAATAATAGAATATCAATAATCATTCCAAATGAACTAGACTGTGATATTAAATTCATTGATAATTTGAAAGTAAATTGAAAATGATAAAATACAATGATTTTGGATTAAATATTTAGAACAACCAAAGAAGTATTTAATAAAATTATTTAATGAATGGTTAAATAATCATAATGAAATACCTCCTCACTTTATTCAAGGAAGAACAATATTAATATATAATAAATGAGATAAATTATACCAACAGAATTACAGACCAATAACTTGCTTAAATTGTCTGTTAAAAGTATATACATCAATATTAATGATGAAAATAGAAAATCAATTGATGCTAAATCCAATTGAAAAACAGCTATCATTAAATCAAATTGGATGTAAGAAATACACATATGCATCAAAAGAATGATTATTATACAATACTATAATCAATCAATTATTAATAAAGAATAAATGGAAGTGGGTAGAAACATATTATGACATATCCAAAGCATATGATAGTATTAATCATCAATGGATTAAACAATGCTTAATATATTTTAATATCCCACTTGTAGTAATTAATAGTATATTATATATATTAAATAATACACAACTTAATTTGTATTATAATCAAGAAAGTGTGGGTATGATTAATGTAGAAAGATGAATAATACAAGGTGACAGCCTATCTCCACTTTTATTTGTATTATCTATTGACATACTATCTAAACAACTAGATAAACAAATAAACAAATTAAATATAAAAATGAATGAAGAAGAAAAACAAGTCAAGTTAAACCACATATTATATATTAATGATTTAAAGATAATGAATAATAGCCTCAATGAAATGGAAAAAGCCAACAAACTAACTAAAGAAATATTTAATGCAATAGGATTAAAAATTAATGTAGAAAAGAGTGGGATAATGACTAATATTAATAGTCAAATAAATGGAGAATTAGCTGAACTACAAAGAGTAACTAATGATAATCCTTATAAATACCTTGGTATTGAAATAGGAGATAAAATAAATAATAATAAATATTGTACAAGAATATTAAATGATATATCTTCTATTTTATCATCATTAAATAATATGAAGTACAGCAGCCTCAATACAATAAGAAAGATTAATAGTGATATAATCTCCAAATTAAGATATGGATTTTGTATTGTCCCATGGAAACTAGGAGAATTGGAGAAGATAGATAAACAAATAAGAAAATCATTAATTCACCTCCAATTATATAGTAGAAATATTCCCAAAAGTAGATTATATGTTAAAATAAATGAAATATGAATATGATTAATGTCAGCAAGAGATGAATGTGCTAAAGAATTATTAAGAATATATTTAAAATATAAGTGGAGATCAAGCACAGAAATATGAGAAATGATAGAAGCAATAAAAGAAAATTCAAATGGAATAAATAAAAGAATGAAGAAAGTATTTGGTAAGAAGATTAATTTTAATGAATTAATGAATATAATAGAATTAAATGAAAGAAAACATGATGTAAAGAAAGTATTTGAATGGGTAAATAATGAATTAAATGATACATATTTAAATGAATGGAAAGAAAAGAAATGTGGTGAATATATAAGATGTGCAAATTGCACTTTTAATGATAAGAAACTAACAGTAGCCACATGGAGGTCATTAAATATAAAAAGAAATGCATTCCTCCAAATAGTAAAAATGCAAGAAGGAGTAACTATGACAGGAAATATTAAATCTAAAATACTACAAAATGATGCTTTAAAATATTGTAAACATTGTCCTAACACAATTGCATCTATTATTCATATATTGTTAGGATGTCCTGTAATGAAAAAGAATCAAATATTAAAACATGATTATGTATGTAAACAAATATTTAAACAGATATTAATTACACAATTTAATGAATTTGATGCTATTGATTTTAATAATCATCCAAAATGTATTAATAATGATAAAATAGTCATAACTTACAATATTGATTTATTGGTTAGTGACAATTCATTTCCATGCTAGAAGACCAGATATATATTATCAAAATATTACAGAAAAGAAATGATATATTATAGATGTTGCTATATGTCAAGGTAATAATTTAGAATTAAATTATATTCATAAAATAAATAAATACAAAGAATTACAAGAGAAATTAAGAAATAATAGAGAAATAATATATGTTGAAATAATACCTGTTATATTATCAATAAATTGATTAATACATAAAGAATCAGTAAGAAGATTAAAAGCACTGAAATTAAAATTAGAATTTCCCCTAAATCCTACGAACAATAATAAACGAAAAAAACAATAATATAAAGAAATAAAATAAAAAGATTTATTAACAAAACAAGAAGAAAATCTAAATAATAAATAAAACATTAATTATTAATGTTTTTATCGTTTTATGATATTGTTATTCTATCTAATCAAATAATAATAAACTACAACTGTACTAACACTTAATTATCCAATTTTTATTTTTTCCGTATTTAAAATAATGAATATCAAGAGATACACAAAAAGAGAAATTCATATCAACCAGACATATAAATAAATAATAGAAGAATGAATGAAAATAAATATTATTTATATTAAAATAACAATTACATCATTTATATATGATTTATTTCATTTGTCATTTCATTTATTAATATCATCATTTATATCATTTTATTTTCTTATTATTCTTTCATATTATTTTATTTCATTATTTCTATTATTATTTATTATATCTCTTATTAAATTACATCATCATAATCAAATATATTTCATTATTTGATTTTGTATTAATGTTTGTGTGTTGTTTCTAACTTACAACCTTAGAATCTAAAACTCATTATTATATATATGTTAAGTTTTTGTTGTAGAAACAGAGTGAAAATTTACTCAATTTATTTGTTGTTCAGACTATCCAAAAGATAAAATAATTCATTTCATTCAGTTGTTTTATTTTTATTATACATCATTCTAATATGTTATATAACAAAAAATTACATTGAAATTATTATCATTTTTATTGTTATTGAAAAAATAACTCATTTCATTATTAATAAAACTGAATAAGTCTTAATTAAAATTCAATTATCATTTATTCAGAATTTTTGATGTAAGGTTCAAGATGTTGTTGAATTTTTTTCAGTTTTTCCTCATCAAATCCTAAATTCACAAATGCTCTCATTTTTTCAAGATACTTCCCTGTCTCTTTATTAAATATCTCAACTTCAACAAGACCACTTCTGTTTATTGTTGTTTTGTAAATTATTTTTAATTCTCCTGCTTTTAATCCAGGTGGAAGTCTTTCTATTGTTACTTCTGTGACAAGTTCCATTCCTTCATCATTTGTTTTCTGTCCTTCTCCTCTATAAATTGATATATTAACAGCCTTCTGATTATCATATTCATTAACACGTACACCCTCAAAAGTAATTGGTAATTTTCTTCCTTTAGGTGCAAAAATACTAAACCCATTATTAACCAATCCAAATCCAAGTGTATATGGCATTACTTGTGTTATATTATCTTCTTTATTTAATGATAATTGATATGCTCTATAAGAGGCTCCTTTCACAACACTTAGATATCCATCAGAACCAAATCCAATAATTTTCTTCTCTCCAAACATATCACAAATTGTTTTTTTAACAATTGGAATACAACACGAACCACCTATTGGTAAAACACAATCTACATCACTTACATTCCAACGTGCACCTTTCATCACATTTTCTATACATCTTTTAATTCTGTCAATAAGCCTATCTTTCTTGCATTGTTCTTCAAATTCTTCTCTTGTGACTTCTATGGAGTCATTAAGTTCATTACAAATTGAATATAAATCAATTGGAGAATAACTTGAATTGCCAGAAAATGATTTTTTGACATCTTCAGCAATATTTCTTATTTGTTTCATTGCTTTTAATTTCATCTTTTTAATTGATTTATTATCAGAAGATTTTACAACAAAGAGTCTTTGAAAACTAGTATCATCAACACTCTCTTTGATTTTATCAAGAATAACTTTAATGAGAGAATCATCAAAATTATTTCCATCAAGACTAAGATCACTTTCATTACATATACATTCTGTTGTTTTTATTTCATTTAGAGCATTTGGTTCTTGTTGTTTTCTAAAGTCTTTTAGTTTTAATGTTATTTCATTATTCCAATTTGGATTTATTTCAGATGTATTAAATGTAAATGGTTTGTCTTGATTTAATATTCTAGAAGCAGACCTTGTTAATTTGTCAATACTCAAATAAACATCTCTTTTTAATTGTCGTGTGCTTGGCAGTTCATACCATTTTGATGGTTCAAATAAATATAATTCATCTGGTTTTGTTTTTAGAGTTTCTTTTACTTTATCTAAAATACTATTTCTGATTTCTTCATCGTCTAGTTTTTCATACTTTGTCATTCCATCTCTATGTGTAATGCAACAGGCAACATCTGTTGTTCCTCCTCCACAGTCAATTACAATAATTTTAGATTTATCTTTCACATGATGTTCTCTTTGATATTCCAAGATTGAAGCAAATGGTTCTTCTAATGAAGTAATATCTTCAAATCCTGCCATTTTACAAGCTTGAATTGTTTCTTTCTTTTGTCTTGGTGTAAAAGAAACAGGGACAGTAACAACTACTTTTCCTATTTTTCTATTTCCAATTCTTTTAATAAGTATATTATACAATGTTCTAAGAACCATTGCTGATACTTCGATTGGATAAAAACTTTCTTGCTTTGATGAATCAAGAGGGTCTTCAACACACATTTTTATTTCATTATTGTCTGTTAAAACTTCAAATGATGTAAAAATTGGTAATAAGTTTTTTTGTTCATTATAATGTTCAACTGTTTCTCCTATTAATCTTTTAGAGTCATGAAGACAAATACCACCACTAGTCTTTGCTCTAATACCAACATTGTACTTTTTTAATCCATCACCTCCTTTAAATATTTCAACCCATGATGGTATTGAAAATTCATTATTTGATATTTCAAGTACTTCTATTGGGTTTTTCTCATTTTCAGAATAAATAGCAATAGATGAATGTGTTATTCCTAGGTCTATTCCTACATGAATAGGTGCATTTAATTTATGTAAACTCATAACGAATCATAGAGATAATCAGTTCTTTAAAAATTGGTAACAAACATCATTTAATCTATTATAAAAATTCAAGATCTTTCATTTATTATAATAATACTAATTAAATTAAAAACAAATAAAGTATTATTTGTTATTCTTTATTTTATAAAATCTCAAACAAAAAAAAAGAAATTTTACCAAAATGAGAAGTAAATTAAAACGCTTAGAAGCATTTTCTGTGGACAATAGCTGGTCCGGATTCATCATATTCTTCCTTGGTAATCCACATGTTTTGGAATGTAGAAAGTGAGGCAAGAATTGATCCTCCAATCCAGACTGAATATTTTCTTTCTGGTGGTGCAATAACCTTAATCTTCATTGTTGGTGGTGCTAATTGAATCATTTCCTTTTCAAGTCTGGTGTTAATACCTGGATACATTGATGTTCCTCCTGAAAGAACAATATTTCCATAAAGATCCTTTCTGATATCGACATCACATTTCATAATTGAATTGTAGGTAGTTTCATGAATACCATTGCATTCCATACCAAGGAATGATGGTTGGAAGAGGGCTTCTGGGCATCTGAATCTTTCATTTCCAACAGTAATAACTTGTCCATCTGGAAGTTCATAGCTCTTTTCAAGTTCACTGCTTGATGCAGCTTTTTGCATTTCTTCATTGAAATCTTCAGCAACATAGCAAAGTTTTTCTTTAATATCTCTGACAATTTCTCTTTCAGCAGTAGTAGTGAAAGCATATCCTCTTTCAGTTAAGATTTTCATGAGATAATCAGTAAGATCACGTCCTGCAAGATCAAGTCTGAGAATAGCATGTGGAAGTGAGAATCCTTCATAAATTGGGACGGTGTGTGAAACTCCATCACCTGAATCCATAACAATACCAGTAGTTCTACCTGAGGCATATAATGAAAGAACAGCTTGAATTCCAACATACATAGCTGGGGTGTTGAATGTTTCAAACATAATTTGAGTCATCTTTTCTCTGTTAGCTTTTGGATTCATTGGGGCTTCAGTTAAAAGAACTGGATGTTCTTCTGGTGCAACTCTAAGTTCATTATAGAAAGTATGATGCCAGATCTTTTCCATATCGTCCCAATTGTTAACAATACCGTGTTCAATTGGATATTTAAGTGTAAGAATACCTCTCTTTGATTGAGCTTCATCTCCGACATAAGCATCCTTTTGACCCATACCAGCCATAACTGAAACGTGTCTTGGTCTACCAACAATGGATGGGAATACAGCTCTTGGTGCATCATCACCAGCAAATCCGGCTTTACACATTCCTGATCCATTATCTACAACAAGTGCTTGAACTTCTTCGTCTCCCATATTAATTGAATGTTTAGTTTAGTTTATTATGATCTTTAAATACCTGTCTTTTGGAGTTCACTCGTTATTAAACTTCAAAGTTCTCACTTTTTTTATATTTTTCACCTCCTTTTTATTTCTTTTTTTAGTTCATTTAAACAACACGATATTAAGTTTATAATAATAATTTTTTTCTGGAACATTCCATATCTTATTTTTTAGTTCTCTTTTAAAATTTAAATCACAAAAATATAAAAATGTTATTGATGGTTTATTGTATTTTAATTTTCTTACAAAAGTATCTTTTAATATTAAAATGTCTCAACATAAAACATATTATAATACTTCTTTCTTTATAAAATTGAAAAATAAAACGAAATAATTGAGGGGAAAAGTGAAACTTCACTTAGAGTTGTTCTTCAACGAACTTCCAGTTGACTACATTCCACCAATGTTCTAAGTAAGCAGCTCTGTTGTTTCTAGTGTCAATGTAATAAGCATGTTCCCAAACATCACAAGTTAATAATGGTTTCATTCCATTGGTCATTGGATTAACAGCATCATGAGTATCAATAATCTCTAACTTACCATCATGTTCAACCAACCAACACCATCCACTTCCAAAATGTCCAACAGCTTTCTCAGTAAACTTCTTCTTAAATTCTTCTAATCCTCCAAAAGCAGCAGTTAATTTAGCAATTAATTGTTCAGATGGTTTAACTCCACATCCACACATACATTTCCAATAGAATGCATGATTCCATGCTTGGGCTGCATTATTATAAATTGCTTGAGTTGGCTTTTGTTTAATTAATTCTTCAAGAGTTTTATGTTCTTGTTCAGTTCCTTTTACAAGACCATTTAACTTATTAACATAAGTAGCGTGATGCTTATCATGATGGAATTCAAGAGTCTCTTTACTAATATGAGGCTCAAGAGCATTATAAGCATAAGGTAATTGTGGTAATTGGAAAGACATTATTATCGAATGAAAATATTACTCTTTTTTGAGTTTAAATAGACTGATGAATTGTGTAGCTTTCTTATTCTTGTGAGGTTTTCTTCAGTAACTTTCACTTTTTCGGAGATTTTATCCATACAGAATCAAATAGAACAACTCTCCACATTTAATTTCGTTTCGTCATCTTTAATAGTCGTTAATTTGTACTACCTCAGTTTGTTGAATTACCAAAAGAGATGAAGTTTCAAAAAATTAACTACCAAATAACTAATTTTATCTATTATTTTGTTATCATTATTTTGTTATTTAAATAATGTTTTATAATAACAGAAAAGTGTAGAAAAAAAAATAATAAAAAGCAATTAATTAAGTATTAATAGAAATAGTTTCTATTGTTCCTGGCTCAGGGGAGACTAATCACATCAATGAGTCTTCTTCTATTAACTCTACGGAGTATGTTTGGTTGTGATTGAAGTAGTATTCTATGACATCCATCATGTTTTTTATTACAAGGTTTTTTATCTTCTTTCACAATGTTAATCTCAATTTTTAATTCTTTAATTAATCTAATACTTTATTTATTTATTAAACCATTTATTGAAATTACTACTGGAATTATTTTGACATCTTTTAATTTCTTGATTTTCATTAGCCTATTCTTTAATTCATTATACTTATTTCTTTTCTTCCAATATTCTCAATTAATATTGTGATCAGCCACAATAGTCATATCAAATATTAGACTAGTTTTGTTCTTTTTATCTAATACGTATATATCTAGTATTTTGTGGTATTGTCCATCACTTTTAGGCATTATTTGTTTGTTAAATATCATAGTGATATCTTTATATTGGAACATTGTTTCATATGGAGGTTTTATATTGTTTATTGAATGTATATTTTCTTATTAATCAATATGATAATGCATATATTGTCATGTTTTTCCATTTTTGATTTATTATGACCAATACAAGATAGTAGAATGTGTTCTGCTGTTGCTATCTTGTCTTTACAAAGTGTTGAGTATTTCAGTCTTTCATTTTTCATTATTTTTGCTTTCTTATACCCACAAAATATTGCTCCATCTTGCATTTTAGTTAATTGTAGGAATGCATTCTTTTTAATATTGATTGACTTCAATGCTTTCACTGTAGTAGTTTTATCTACTCATTTTGACTCAAACCAACGGCAACGAAAAAAAGCAAATAATGGAAAAAGAAAAGAAAGATATAAAAGAATAAAAAGAAAGTAAGAAGTAGATGAAGATGTTAAAAGAATAAAAGTAGAAAGTAGAGAAATATAAAAAGAAAGAAGATAAAGAGTAATAAAATAGAATAAATAATAAAAGATGAAAAGAAGAAATAAATGGTGTATTTTTTATTGTAAAAATTAGAAATATTCAATAAAAAGTGTCTAATCTAATGATATAAAATAATTAATATTGTTTTATTAATGAAAAATATTTTACTCTTTTTTATGTTTATTATTTATATGTATAATTTCAACATGATGATTATTATATAATCAATCATATGTGTTATGTTATTATTATAATATGTAATATGTAATAAAATATAAATGAAAATGATATGAATATATTATATAGAATATAAAACAAAAGAATAATAAGAATAAATGATAAATAAAACGAGAAATGATAATAAATGATATAATAATAAAATCAAAAGATAAAAGATAAAATTAATATTAATATAAAATGAAAGTAGATATAAAATGAAAATAGATATAAATGATAATAATATAAAAATGATAAGGATGAATAAACAAATACAACTAAATATAAATATAAAAAACATAAAATAAGAATAATATAATAATATATAGATAATAAGAATAATATAATAATATATAGATAAATAGAGAAATAAATATATAAAAATAAATATGAATAATCAAATCATCTATTTCATTATATTTCATACAAAATGACTATAAATGATCATAAAATATAAACATAAATATTTACATATTCTGTATTTATCATATTTTTATTTTTTTATTTTTATTTTAGGAGCAAAATATAATAAATGGAATATTCTATGGATGCAAATTTTTTTGCATCTTTTTTCTTTTTTATAAATTATTTAGATGCATTTTTTCTTTGCTTATTTTCATGCCGAAAATACACAATTAAAAATAATAAAAATAAACTTTTAATTACTAATTAATTAAATGAACAATATTAAAACAGTTTTTGATTATTTCTTTTGTAATAAAAATATCAGTGATGAAATGAAAATTCATTACAAATTAAGAAATTGTGTTGTTGGTTGTTTGATGTGTGGTTGTGAAATATTACCACCGTCAATATATTATATTTGTTCTGAATGTGAAGATGGATTGCATACAGTATGTCCCTCATGTTATCCATATGCAAAAGAACAAAAAGGTCATAAATTTTACAGTGAGTTATTACCATTTTGTCGTGATAATTCAGTCATTAAAACAGTTACATCATTTTCTAGTAAATTAATAACATTATTTAATTTATACAAAGAAAGAAAATGTCTTGGATATCGTTGGATATCTGATCAATTAATGAATCATTTTGAATGGATATCGTATCAAGATGTTTTTGAATTATGTTGTGGTTTATGTGAAAAGATTCAATTAATGAATATTGAAATAAATGAACCGATTCTTATTTGTGGTGATTCATGTATAGATAGTTATATCATATCATTTTCAGTAGCAATTGGTGGATATCTTTGGGTTCCAATAAATCATACATCAACAAAAGAATATGTACATGGAATAATGAATAGATGTAAAATTCGTTTAGCATTTATATCAAAAAATAACATTGGTTATTTAGAAGAAGAGTTAAAAAGTGTTGAAAAAATTATTCTAATTGATGACTGTCCTGAGGCTTATTCTACTATTATTTCTCCACAACACCAATACCCAACAGTAATGTCAATTATTAAAAAAAGTAAAACTCTTCCAAAACCACTTATATGTAATCCAAATACTCCTCGTTTGTTATTGTCAACAAGTGGTTCAACAGGAAATCCAAAACTTGTTATTATGAATGAACAAACTTTAAGAAACTCACTTCAACCATCTCAACCAAATCTTCAAGTTATTACAATTACATCATCATTAATACGACAACCTTATGACATTATTAATAAAGGAGGGTCTATTGCTTGTTATAGTGGTTCAATGGAACGACTTAGAGAAGATATTATTATGGTGAGACCAACATTTTTTGGGGCAACACCAACATTTTGGTATTCATTATATCAAGAATTTTTATTTGAAACAAAAGGTCTTAAAGAACAAGAAGCTATAGAATTATATAAAAAGAAAAGAGTATTAGGAAATAGATGTAAAAGTGTATTAATAACTGGTGCAAAAAGTTCAGAAGAAATTAAAACATTTTTATTTAAAATTGGATTAATTGTAACTGATGGATATGGAACAAGTGAAACAGGGTCATTAATTAATATGAGTACAGGAAAAGTTAATGATGGAGTTGAATTAAAATTAATTGATTGTCCTGAAATGGGATATTTTGTAAATTCAATTCCATCAAGAGGAGAAGTTATTGCAAAAACAAGAAAAATGTCAAGTGGATATTATGGAGATGAACAACTTACTAATGAAATGTTTATAAATATTGAAGGAAGTATTTATTTTAAAACAGGAGATATTGGTGAAATTGTTGATGGTCAAATAAAAATTATTGATAGAAAAGCTTTTTGTTTTAAAACTCCTCAAGGATGCTTTGTAACACCAACAGTAATAGAAAATAAATTAAGTAAAATTGAAGGAATAGAACAAATAGTTATTTTTAATGGAATAAATGATCAAGTTACTGCAGTACTTACATTAAAAGAAAATGATATTGAAAAAGATGTATTTAAATTAATTAAAACAAATAGTATTAAAGAAGGATTAAAAGAATATGAAATTCCACAACAAATAATTATTGCAAAAGAACATTTTACTGTAAAGAATGGAATGCTTACGTTAAATGGAAAGATAAATAGAAATAAAATTATAAAACACTACAAACCATTATCTTCTAGTCATCAAATAATTATTAAAGAAACTCAAACAGAAGAAAATATTGAACAAAATGATGTATCAATAAAACAAATTCCTATTATTTCTAAACAACTTGAAGAAATACTTAGAAATTCAATTAAAAATATTAAATATATTAAAAATATAAATGAAATAGTTGAATATAGAATTACTGATTTTGGAGTTGATTCAATTATAATGACTCAAATTAGTCAATTAATTAAAAAAACATTTAATATTGAAATAAATACTCGTTTACTTTATAAATTTAGAAGTATTGAACAACTTCAAAATTATCTAAATGGAATGCCTTTAATAGAAGAAGAAATTCTTTGGGAAGATGAAATCAAACAAGCAATTAGAACTGAACATCAAATACAATTTAATCAACATAAAAACAAAAATAAAATACTTCTTTTTGGTTGTAATGGATTTGTTGGTAAATTTATTTTACGAGAATTAATTGGAAAAGAAGTTATTTGTATTGTTAGAGGAAATAATTATCAAGAAAAAGTATTATCTTCTTTTAAAGAAACAATTCATTGTATTAATAATAAAAAAGATTATGAAATTTGGTTTAATACACATGTTCAAATAATTCAAGGTGAAGTTTCTGAACAAAATTTTGGACTTTCTGAGAAAATTTATAATGAACTACTTCAATCCGTTTCAATAGTTATTCTTTCTTCTGGAAAAACTCATATGATGGAAAATTATCAAATGTTATATTCAAGTAATGTACTTTCTGTTTCTCATGTAATTGAGTTCTGTCAAAGAAATTCTTCATTTTTATTTGATGTATCTTCTTTAAGTGTTCTTTCTGGAAGTCAAATTCTTAATGAAGAAATTGATATTCCATTGACACATATTAATCTTTTGAATGGATATGCTCAATCTAAATTAATTGCTGAAAAAGCAATTATTGGTTCTAAAGGATTTAAAAAGTGTATTTTAAGACTTGGAACAGCAGGTCCAGATAGATATAGTGGAGTTTGTAATACTCTTAGTAAATATATTCAAATGATATCTCAAATTCTTATTCATAAAAAAGTAAGTTATTCAACGTCAAATCTTTACCAATTAATACCTTTTATTCCTGTAGACTATTTTTCATCTTCACTACGCTCTCTTATTGACCATTGTAATGAAATGAACGAAATAACTTGCTTTCATTTTGGATGTGAATCACTTTCATCATTAAAACAATTATTAAGTGTTGAACATTTAGAAGAAGTTGATGAAATAGATTATTGGCAAACTGAAGGAATATCAAATGAATTTAAATCTCTTCCATCTATAGAAAATACGATAAAACTTAATGGTCATATTCCATTATATTCTCCAGAAGAATGTAAATTATTTTTAAAATGGATAAAAGAACATTATTAATAAATTTATAAATTTTTTTAAATAAAAACATAAATGTTTTATAAAACAATTGTTAATATAAAAAAACTAAAAAAAACTAAAAAAAATGAAAGAAATGAAGAGAAGTTTAGAAAGCAGTGATAATGAAGTTATTCAAAGTCCAATTTGTATTGGACTTGATGATATGAGTGAAGAATTATTAGAACAATTTGTTCCACCACCAAGACAAACCATTATACCAAATAAACCATTATTTTTACAAGAATTACCAATTATACATATTAATGAAGGAATGGAACCTCCATGGAAATCACATGAAGAATATGAATCATTACTTTATTATTCATCACAACCATATATAAGTCATTATAAAAGATTGTTTAAAACAGGATATGTAAAAAATAAAACAGTATTAGTAATACGGTGTGGTTTTGGTAAAGTTGCATTACTTGCTCAAAAGTATGGAGCAAAGAAAGTTGTTGCAATTGATGATAGACCAGTCTGGAAGTTTTTTAAAAATGTTGTAGAAAAAATGGAAGTAACAGGAATTATAGTAGAAAATAAAACAGCAGGAGAAGTAAGAGAAAGATTTGATATAATTATTTGTGATTGGATGGGAATTAATTTATATTATGACTCATTATTAAATGAAGTAATAAAATGTAAAAGATTATTAAGAAATGATGGAGAAATTATTCCTAATATAGGAAGATGTTATATTTGTGGTATTGGAGGATTAGAATATGTTGATGAAAAATATGATTTTTGGAAAAATGTATATGGTTATGACATGTCAATACTCGTTAAAAATGTTGTTTGTACAGCTTATATTGATTATATAGATGAATCAAAAGTAATTACAAACCATTGCTTATTATATTCAGTTAATTCAATGACAATTCAAGAAATTGTTAAAAAAACAGTTACTTTCAAACTTTCTTTAAAAAGACCAATTCCACTTGTTGGATTTTGTACATACTTTGAAGCAGATATATCCAACCACCGTATTTCTACTGCTCCAGGAACACAAACAGTTTGGAGACAATGTTGTTATTTATGTCCATCTCCATTAAATAAATGTAAAATAGATGATGTGATTGAAGGAAAATTTAAGATGTTTCAAAGAGAAACAAATCAACGATGGGTAGTTATACTTCAATATAATTGTGAAAAAAGAGGATATTCAGGAAAATATCAATATGAATTTTAATATATATATTTCTTTTTATTATTTTATTTTTAAGACTTTTAGAAATAATATAAAAATTAAATGATAAACCAAAACATCAAAATTAAATAGAAGTTCTGTTGCAAAACCAAATTGTATATTACATTTTCTTATATCCAACAGGAACATAATATTTATTCCAAATAGTATTGTTATGTATATATTCCTGTTTCATTGATTCAATCATTTTAATAAGTTCTTCTGCATTAGGTCTTTTATCAGGTTCTTCATCTACACAACTATAATACAGTTGATGTACTGATGGTGGTACATAATTTTTACAAGCTTCATTATATTCCTTGATTTCAAGAGTAGGTCGTTTACCTTCACTAATTAAATTTAAAATAGCAAAGTCATTTGCTGCAGGAATATTATATTCTTTAAACCAAGGTTTTGTGTATGACCCAAAAACAACTCTCCTAAAAATTTCCCAAAAAACTATTCCAAGAGAATAAATATCACTTTTTGTAGTATATAATCCTTGATGTCCATCACTTGGAATAATTTCTGGAGAACAATATGGTATTGTTCCAGATAATTCTTTTAAATCTTTTTCTCGATTTTCTGTAGTGTCAAATCGACTCATTCCAAAATCACTAATTTTTAACGTATAATCATTTGTTACAAGAACATTTAATGATTTAAAGTCACGATGAAGAATAGATGGTTTGTTATTATGTAATACTCCTAATCCAACACTCATTTGTTCACAAAAATTTAATGCAGTAGGAAAATCAACTTGTTGATTAGGATCATTAAGAACATCAAATAATGAGAAATGAGAACAAAATTCCATAACAATTGATATTGTATCATCTATAAC